TCCTCAGCGTGAGAAACCTTGACCTCTGCGTCAGGAACCTTGTCCTCAGCGTCAGGAACCTTGTCCTCAGCGTGAGGAACCTTGTCCTTAGTGTGAGGTGAACCTCGTCCTCAGCTTGAGGAACCTTGTCCTCAGTGTGAGGTACCTTCTCCTCAGCGTGAGGAGCCTTGTCCTCAGCGTCAGGAACCTTGTTCTGAGCGTGAGGAACCTTGTCCTCAGCGTGAGGAACCTTGTTCTCAGTGCGAGGTACTTTGTCCTCTGTGTGAGGTACCTTGTCCACAGCGTGAAGTACCATGTCCTCAGCCTGAGAAACCTTGTCCTCAGCGTGACGAACCCCGTCCTCAGCGTGAGGAACCTTGTCCTCAGTGTGAGGTGCCTTTTCCTCAGTGTGAGGTACCTTGTCTTCAGCATGAGGAGCCTTGTCCTCAGCGTGAGGAACCTTGTCCCCAGCGTGAGGAGCCTTGTTCTCAGCTTGACGAACCTTGTCCTCAGTGTGAGGTACCATGTCTTCAGCGTGAGGAACCTTGTCCTCAGTGAGAGGTACCTTGTCCTCAACGTGAGGAACCTTGTACTCGGTGTGACGTACCGTGTCCTCAGTGTGGAGTACCTTGTCCTCAGCGTGAGAAACTTTGCCCTCTGCGAGAGGAACCTTGTTCTCAGCGTGACGAACCTTGTCCTCAGCGATAAAAGCCTTGTCCTCAGCGCGAGGAACCTTGTCCTCAGTGTGAGGTACCTTGTCTTCAGCGTGAGCAACCTTGTCCTCAGCGTCAGGAACCTTGTCCTGACCGTGAGGAACCTTGTCCTCAGCGTGAGAAACCTTGTCCTCAGTGTGAGGTACCTTGTCCTCAGTCTGAGGTACCATGTCCACAGCGTGAGGTACCATGTCCTCAGCCTGAGAAACCTTGTCTTCAGCGTGACGAACCCAGTCCTCAGCGTGAGGAACGTTGTCCTCAGTGTGAGGTACCTTGTCTTCAGCATGAGGAGCCTTGTCCTCAGCGTGAGGAACCTTGTCCCCAGCGTGAGCAGCCTTGTCCTCCGTGCGAGGTACCTTGTCCTCAGGGTGAGTTACCGTGTCCTCAGCTTGACAAACCTTGTCCTCAGTTTGAGGTACCATGTCCTCAGCGTGAGGAACCTTGTCCTCGGTGTGACGTACCTTGTCCTCAGTGTGAGGTACCTTGTCCTCAATGTGAGGTATCTTGTCCACAGCGTGAGGTACCATGTCCTCAGCCTGAGAAACTTTGCCCTCAGCGTGAGGAACCTTGTTCTCCGCGTGAGGAACCTTGTCGTCTGCGTGAAAAGCCTTGTCCTCAGCGCGAGGAACCTTGTCCTCAGTGTGAGGTACCTTGTCCTCAGCGTGAGAAACCTTGCCCTCAGCGTCAGCAACATTGTCCTCAGCGTCAGGAACCTTGTCCTCAGCGTGAGGAACCTTGTCCTCAGCGTGAGGAGCCTTGTCCTCAGCGTCAGGAACCATGTTCTGAGCGTGAGGAACCTTGTCCTCAGCGTAAGGAACCTTGTCCTCAGTGCGAGGTACCTTGTCCTCTGTGTGAGGTACCTTGTCAACAGCGTGAGGTACCATGTCCTCAGCCTGAGAAACCTTGTCCTCAGCGTGACGAACCCCGTCCTCAGCGTGAGGAACCTTGTCCTCAGTGTGAGGTATCTTGTCCTCAGTGTGAGGTACCTTGTGTTCAGCATGAGGAGCCTTGTCCTCAGCGTGAGGAACCTTGTCCCCAGCGTGAGGAACCTTGTCCTCAGCTTGACGTAGCTTGTCCTCCGTGTGAGGTACCTTGTCCTCAGCGTGAGAAACTTTGCCCTCAGCGAGAGGAACATTGTTCTCAGCCTGAGGAACCTTGTCGTCAGCGGTAAAAGCCTTGTCCTCAGCGCGAGGAACCTTGTCCTCAGTGTGAGGTACCTTGTCTTCAGCGTGAGCAACCTTGTCCTCAGCGTCAGGAACCTTGTCGTGAGCGCGAGGAACCTTGTCCTCAGCGTGAGAAACCTTGTCCTCAGTGTGAGGTACCTTGTCCTCAGTCTGAGGTACCTTGTCCACAGCGTGAGGTACCATGTCGTCAGCCTGAGAAACCTTGTCCTCAGCGTAACGAACCCCGTCCTCAGCGTGAGGAACGTTGTCCTCAGTGTGAGGTACCTTGTCTTCAGCATGAGGAGCCTTGTCCTCAGCGTGAGGAACCTTGTCCCCAGCGTGAGCAGCCTTGTCCTCCTTGCGAGGTACCTTGTCCTCAGGTTGAGGTACCGTGTCCTCAGCTTGACAAACCTTGTCCTCAGTTTGAGGTACCATGTCCTCAGCGCGAGGAACCTTGTCCTCGGTGTGACGTACCTTGTCCTCAATGTGAGGTACCTTGTCCACAGCGTGAGGTACCATGTCCTCAGCCTGAGAAACTTTGCCCTCAGCGTGAGGAACCTTGTTCTCCGCGTGAGGAACCTTGTCGTCTGCGTGAAAAGCCTTGTCGTCAGCGGCAGGAACCTTGTCCTCAGTGTGAGGTACCTTGTCCTCAGCGTGAGAAATCTTGCCCTCAGCGTCAGGAACATTGTCCTCAGCGTCAGGAACCTGGTCCTCAGCGTGAGGAACCTTGTCCTCAGTGTGAGGTACCTTGTCGTCAGCTTGAGGAACCTTGTCCTCAGTGTTAGCGGCCTTGTCCTCAGCGTTAGGAACCTTGTCCTCAGCGTGAGGAACCTTGTCCTCAGCGTCAGGAACCTTGTCCTCAGTGTGAGGTACCTTGTCCTCAGTATGAGTACCTTGTCCTCAGCGTGAGGTACCATGTCCTCATCCTGAGAAACCTTGTCCTCAGCGTGACGAACCCCGTCCTCAGCGTGAGGAACCTCGTCCTCAGTGTGAGGTACCTTGTCCTCAGTGTGAGGTAACTTGTCTTCAGCTTGAGGAGCCTTGTCCTCAGCGTGAAGAACCTTGTCCCCAGCGTGAGGAACCTTGTCCTCCGTGTGAGGTGCCTTTTCCTCAGGCTGAGGTACAGTGTCCTCAGCTTGACGAACCTTGTCCTCAGTGTGAGCTACCTTGTCCTCAGCTTGGCGAACCTTGACCTCAGCGTGAGGAACCTTGTCCTCAATGTGAGGAACCTTGTCCTCAGTGTGCGGTACTTTGTCCTCAGCTTGAGGAACCTTGTCCTCTGCGTGAGGAACCTTGTCCTCAATGTGAGGAACCTTCTACTCAGTGTGAGGTAACTTGTCCTCAGTGTGAGGTACCTTGTGTTCAGCTTGAGGAGCCTTGTCCTCAGCGTGAGGAACCTTGTCCTCAGCGTCAGGAACATTGTCCTCAGTGTGATGTACCTGGTACTCAGTGTGAGGTACCTTTTGCTCAGCGTGAGGAACCTTGTACTCAGATTGAGGAACCTTGTCCTCAGCGTGAGGTACGGTGTCCTCAGCTTGACGAACCTTGTCCGCAGTGTGAGGTACCATGTCCTCAGCGTGAAGAACCTTGTCCTCAGCGTGAGGAATCTTGTCCTCAGTGTGAGGTACCTTGCCTCAGCGCGAGGAACCTTGTCCTCAGCTGGTAGAACCTTGTCGTTAGCGTGAAGTACCTTGTCCTCAGCGTGAGGCACCTTGTTTTCTGCGTGAGGAACCTTGTGCTCAGCGTGACGAACCTTGTCCTCAGCGTGACGAATCTTCTCCTTAGCGTGAGGAACCTTGTCGCCAGCGTGAGGACCCTTGTCCTCAGTGTGAAGTAACCTGTCCTCAGCGTGAGGATCCTTTTCCCCCGCTTGAGGAACCTTGTCGTCAGTGTGAGAAACCTTGTCCTCACGGTCAGGAGCCTTGTCCTCAACGTGAGGAACCTTGTCTTCAGCGTGAGGAACCTTGTCCTCACCGCGAGGAACCTTGTCCTCAGCGTGAGAAACCTTGTCCTCTGTGTGAGGCACTTTGTGCACAGTGTGAGGAACCTTGTCCTTAGTGTGAGGTACCTTGTCTTCAGTGTGAGGTACCATGTCTTCAGCTTGAGAAGCCTTGTCCCCTGCGTGAAGAACCTTGTCCCCAGCGTGAGGAGCCTTGTCCTCCGTGCGAGGTGCCTTGTCCTCAGGGTGAGGTAACTTGTCCTCAATTTGAGGAACTTTGTCCTCAGCGTAAGGAACCTTGTCCTCAGCATGAGGAACATTTTCCTCAGTGTGAGGTACCTTGACCTCAGTGTGAGGTACCTTGTCCTCAGCGTGAGGAACCTTGTCCTCAGTGTCGCGTACCTTGTCCTCAGTGTGAGTTATCTTGTCCTCAGCTTGAGGAACCTTTTCCTCAGCATGAGGAATTTTTTCCTCAGTGTGAGGTTCCTTGACCTCAGTGTGAGGTACCTTGTGCTCAGCGTGTGGAACCTTGTCCTCAGTGTTGCGTACCTCGTCCTCAGCTTGAGGAACCTCGTCCTCAGTGTGAGGTACCTTGTTCTCAGCGTCAAGACCTTGTCCTCAGTGTGAGGTACCTTGTCCCCAGCGTGAGGAACCTTGTCCTCAGTGTGGCGTACCTTGTCCTCAGTGTGGCGTACCTTGTCCTCAGTGTGAGGTACCTTGTCCTCAGCGTGAGAAACCTTGTGTTCAGCGTCAGGAACCTTGTCCTCAGCGTCAGGAACCTTGTCCTCAGCGTGAGGAACCTTGTCCTCAGTGTGAGGTACCTTCTCCTCAGCGTGAGGAGCCTTGTCCTCAGCGCCGGGAACCTTGTCCTAATCGTGACGAACCGTGTCCTGGGCGTGAAAAACCTTGTCCTCAGCGTGAGGTACCTTGTCCTCAGTGTGAGGGTACCTTGTCCACAGCGTGAGGTACCATGTCCTCAACCTGAGAAACCATGTCCTCACCGTGAGGAACCTTGTCCTCAGCGTGAGGAACCTTGTCCTCAGTGTGAGGTACCTTTTCCTCAGTGTGAGGTACCTTGTCTTAAGCTTGAGGAACCTTGTCCCCAGCGTGAGGAGCCTTGTCCTCTGTGCGAGGTACCTTGATCTCAGGGTGAGGTACCGTGTCCTCAGCTTGACGAACCTTGTCCTCAGTGTGAGGTACCATGTCCTAAGCGTGTGGAACCTTGTCCTCAGTGAGAGGAACCTTGTCGCCAGCGTCAGCACCCTTGTCCTCAATGTGAGGTAACTTCTCCTCAGCGTGAGGAACCTTGTCCCCAGCGTGAGGAGCCTTGTCCTCCGTGCGAGGTACCTTGACCTCAGGGTGAGGTACCGTGTCCTCAGCTTGACGAACCTTGTCCTCAGTGTGAGGTACCATGTCCTCAGCGTGAGGTACCTTGTCCTCAGTGAGAGGAACCTTTTTGCCAGCGTCAGGACCCTTGTCCTCAGTGTGAGGTAACTTGTCCTCAGCGTGAGGAACCTTGTCGTCAGCGTGAGAAACCTTGTCCTCACCGTGAGGATCCTTGTCCACAACGTGAGGAACCTTGTCTTCTGCGTGAGGATTTTTTTCCTCACCGTGAGGAACCTTGTCCTCAGCGTGAGAAACCTCACCTTGAGGGACCTTGTCCTCTGCGTGAGGACTTTGTCCTCAGCGTGAGTAAGCTTGTCCTCAGCGGCAGCAACCTTGTCCTCAGCGTGAGGAGCCTTGTCCTCAGTGTGAGGTACCTTGTCCTCAGTGTGAGGTACCTTGTCCTCATCGTGAGGAACCTTGTCCTCAGATTGAGGAACCTTCTTCTCAGCGTCAGGACCTTGTCCTCAGCGCGAGGAACCTTTTCCTCAGCGTGAGGAACCTTGTCCTGGGCGTGAGGAACCCTGTCCTCAGTGGGAGGTTCCTTGTCCTCAGTGTGAGGTACCTTTTTCTCAGCTTTAGGAAGCTTCTCCTTAGTGTGAGGTACCTTGTCCGCAGCGTGAGGAACCTTGTCCTCAGCGTGAGGACCCTTTTCCTCAGTGTGACGTACTTTGTCCTCAATGTGAGGTACCTTGTACTCAGCGTGAGGAACCTTGTCCTCAGCTTGAGGAACTTTGTCCTCACCGTGAGGACCTTGTCCTCAGCGTCAGGAACCTTGTCCTCAGCGTGACGTACCTTGTCCTGGGCGTGAGGAACCTTGAGCTCAGTTGGAGGTACTTTGTCCACAGCTTGAAGAACCTTGTCCTCAGCTTCAGGAACGTTGTCTTCAGCGTGAGGAACCTTGTCCTCAGTGTGAGGTACCTTGTCCTCAGTGTGAGGTACCTTGTCCTAAGTGTGAGGTACCTTCTCCTCAGTGTGACGTACCTTGTCCTCAGCTTGGGGAACCTTGTCCTCAGCGTGAGGAACGTTGTCCTCAGTGTGAGGTACCTTGTCCACAGTGTGATGGACTTTGTCCCCAGCTTGAGGAACCTTGTCCTCAGCGTGACGAACCTTGTCCGCAGTGTCAGGTATCTTGTCCTCAGCGGGAAGAATCTAGTCCTCAGTGTGAGGTAACAGGTCCTCAGTACGAGGTAAATTGTCCTCAGTATGAGGTACCTTGTCCTCAGCGTCAGTAACCTTGTCCTCAGTGTGAAATACCTTGCCCTCAGTGTGAGGTACCTTGTCCTCATCGTGAGGAACCTTGTCCTCAGTGTGAGGTACCTTGTCCTCAGTGTGAGGTACCTTGTCGTCAGCGTGAGAAACCTTGTCCCCACCGTGAGGATCCTTGTCCACAACGTGAGGAATCTTGTCTTCTGCGTGAGGATTTTTTTCCTCACCGTGAGGAACCTTGTCCTCAGCGTGACAAACCTAGACTTCAGTGTGAGGTAGCTTGTCCTCCGTGTGAGGTACCTTGTCCTCAGCTTGAGGAACCTTGTCCTCAGCGTCAGTAACCTTGTCCTCAGTGTGAAATACCTTGCCCTCAGTGTGAGGTACCTTGTCCTCATCGTGAGGAACCTTGTCCTCAGTGTGAGGTACCTTGTCCTCAGTGTGAGGTACCTTGTCGTCAGCGTGAGAAACCTTGTCCCCACCGTGAGGATCCTTGTCCACAACGTGAGGAATCTTGTCTTCTGCGTGAGGATTTTTTTCCTCACCGTGAGGAACCTTGTCCTCAGCGTGACAAACCTAGACTTCAGTGTGAGGTAGCTTGTCCTCCGTGTGAGGTACCTTGTCCTCAGCTTGAGGAACCTTGTCCTCAGCGTCAGTAACCTTGTCCTCAGTGTGAAATACCTTGCCCTCAGTGTGAGGTACCTTGTCCTCATCGTGAGGAACCTTGTCCTCAGTGTGAGGTACCTTGTCCTCAGTGTGAGGTACCTTGTCGTCAGCGTGAGAAACCTTGTCCCCACCGTGAGGATCCTTGTCCACAACGTGAGGAATCTTGTCTTCTGCGTGAGGATTTTTTTCCTCACCGTGAGGAACCTTGTCCTCAGCGTGACAAACCTAGACTTCAGTGTGAGGTAGCTTGTCCTCCGTGTGAGGTACCTTGTCCTCAGCTTGAGGAACCTTGTCCTCAGCGTCAGTAACCTTGTCCTCAGTGTGAAATACCTTGCCCTCAGTGTGAGGTACCTTGTCCTCATCGTGAGGAACCTTGTCCTCAGTGTGAGGTACCTTGTCCTCAGTGTGAGGTACCTTGTCCTCAGCGTGAGGAATGTTGTCCTCACCTTGAGGGACCTTGTCCTCTGCGTGAGGACTTTGTCCTCAGCGTGAGTAAGCTTGTCCTCAGCGGCAGCAACCTTGTCCTCAGCGTGAGGAGCCTTGTCCTCAGTGTGAGGTACCTTGTCCTCAGTGTGAGGTACCTTGTCCTCATCGTGAGGAAACTTGTCCTCAGATTGAGGAACCTTGTTCTCAGCGTCAGGACATTGTCCTCAGCGTGAGGAACCTTTTCCTCAGCGTGAGGAACCTTGTCCAGGCGTGAGGAACCCTGTCCTCAGTGGGAGGTTCCTTGTCCTCAGTGTGAGGTACCTTTTTCTCAGCTTGAAGAAGCTTGTCCTCAGTGTGAGGTACCTTGTCCGCAGCGTGAGGAACCTTGTCCTCAGCGTGAGGACCCTTTTCCTCAGTGTGAGGGAACAGGTCCGCAGTGCGAGGTACCTTGTCCTCAGTATGAGGTACCTTGTCCTCAGCGTCAGTAACCTTGTCGTCAGTGTGAAATACCTTGCCCTCAGTGTGAGGTACCTTGTCCTCATCGTGAGGAACCTTGTCCTGAGTGTGAGGTACCTTGTCCTCAGTGTGAGGTACTTGTCCTCAGCGTGAGGAACCTTGTCCTCAGCATGAGCAACCTTTTCCTCAGTGTCAGATACCTTGACCTCAGTGTGAGGTACCTTGTCCTCAGCGTGAGGGACATTGTCCTCAGTGTCGCGTGCCTTGTCCTCAGTGTGAGGTATCTTGTCCTCAGCTTGAGGAACCTTTTCCTCAGCATGAGGAACCTTTTCCTCAGTGTGAGGTTCCTTGACCTCAGCGTGAGGAACCTTGTCCTCAGTGTGAGGTACCTTGTCCTCAGTGTGAGGTACCTTGTCCTCAGCGTGAGAAATCTTGTCCTCACCTTGAGGGACCTTGTCCTCTGCGTGAGGACTTTGTCCTCAGCGTCACTAAGCTTGTCCTCAGCGGCAGCAACCTTGTCCTCAGCGTGAGAAGCCTTGTCCTCAGTGTGAGGTACCTTGTCCTCAGTGTGAGGTACCTTGTCCTCAGCTTGAGGATCGTTGTCCTCAGCGTCAGCAACCTTGTCCTCAGTGTGAAATACCTTGCCCTCAGTGTGAGCTACCTTGTCTTCATGGTGGAGAAACCTGTCCTCAGCTTGAGGAACCTGGTTCTCAGCGTCAGAACCTTGTCCTCAGCGTGAGGAACCTTGTCTTCAGCGTGAGGATCCTTGTCCTGGGCGTGAAGAACCCTGTCCTCAGTGGGAGGTGCCTTGTTCTCAGTGTGAGGTACATTTTTCTCAGCTTGAGGAACCTTGCCCCCAGTGTGAGGTACCTTGTCCTCAGCGTGAGGAACCTTGTCCTCAGTGTGAGGAACCTTGTCCTCAGTGTGACGTACCTTGTCCTCAGTGTGAGGTACCATGTCTTCAGCGTGAGGAAACTTGTCCTCAGTGAGAGGTACCTTGTCCTCAGGGTGAGGAAACTTGTCCTCGGTGTGACGTACCTTGTCCTCAGTGTGAGGTACCTTGTCCTCAGCGTGAGAAACTTTGCCCTCAGCTTGAGGAACCTTGTTCTCAGCGTGAGGAACCTTGTCGTCAGCGTGAAAAGCCTTGTCCTCAGTGCGAGGAACCTTGTCCTCAGTGTGCGGTACATTGTCGTCAGCTTGAGGAACCTTGTGCTCACCTTGAGGGACCTGGTCCTCTGCGTGAGGACCTTGTCCTCACCATGAAGAACCTTATTCTCAGTGTGAGGTACCTTGTTCTCAGTGTGAGGTACGTCGTCCTTAGCGTGAGGTGCCATGTCCTCAGCCGGAGAAACCTTGTCCTCAGCGTGAGGAACCTTGTCCTCAGTGAGAGGAAACTTGTCCTGAGCGTGAGGATCCTTGTCGTCACCGTGAGAAACCTTGTCCTCACCGTGAGGAACCTTGTCCTCAACGTGAGGTACCTTGTCCTAAGTGTGCGGTACCTTGTCCTCAGTGTGACCTAACTTGTCCTCAGCTTGGGGAACCTTGTCTTCAGCGTGAGGAACATTGTCCTCAGCGTGAGGTACCTTGTCCTCAGCGTGAGGAACCTTGTCCTCAGTGTGAGGGACCTTGTCCTCAGTGTGAGGAACCTTGTCCTCAGAATGAGGAACCTTGCCCTCAGAGTGAGGTACCTTGTCCTCAGCGAGAGGAACCTTGTCCTCTGCGTGAGGAACCTTGTCCTCAACGTGAGGAACCTAGTCCTCACTGTGAGGAGCCTTGTCGTCAGCGTGGGGACCGTTATCCTCAGTGTGAGGTACCTTGTCTTCAGTGTGAGGTACTTTGTCCTCAGCTTGGGGAACTTTATCCTCAGCGTGAGGAACCTTGTCCTCAGCGTGAGGAACCTAGTCCTCACTGTGAGGAGCCTTGTCGTTAGCGTGGGGAGCGTTATCCTCAGTGTGAGGTACCTTGTCTTCAGTGTGAGGTACTTTGTCCTCAGCTTGGGGAACTTTATCCTCAGCTTGAGGAACCTTGTCCTCAGCGTGAGGAACCTTGTTCTCAGCGTGAGAAACCTTGTCCTCAGCGTGACGAACCTTGTCCTCAGCTTGAGGAACCTTGTCCTCTGCGTGAGGAATCTTGTCCTCCGCGAGAGGAACCTTGTCCTCACCGTGAGGAACCTTGTCCTCACCGTCAAGAACCTTGTCTTCAGAGTGAGGAGGTTGTACTCAGTGGGGGAAGCCCTTCCTCAGTGTGAATTACTTTGTCCTCAGCTTGAGGAAAATTCTCCTCAGCGTGAGGAACCTTGTTCTCAGTGTGAGGTACCTTGTCTTCAGCTTGAGGAACATTGTCCTCAGTGTGAGTTGCCTTGTCCTCAGCGTGAGGAACCCTTTCCTCAGCGTGAGGAAATTTGTCCTCAGCGTGTGGAAATTTGTCCTCACCGTGAGGAACCTTGTCTTCAGTGTGAGGTACCTTGTCCTCAGCTTGAGGAACATTGTCCTCAGTATGAGGAACCTTGTCGTCAGCGTGAAGAACGTTGTCCTCAGCTTGAGGAACCTTGTCCTCACCGTGAGGAAACTTGTCCTCAGCGTGAGAAACCTTGTCCTCAGCGTGAGAAACCTTGTCCTCAGTGTGAGGTACCTTGTCCTCAGTGTGAGGTACCTTGGCCTCAGCTTGAGGAACCTTGTGAGGTACCTTGTCCTCAGTGTGAGGTATTTTGTCCTCAGTTTGAGGAACCTTGTCCTCTGCTTGAGGAACTTCGGATTTGGCGAGAAAATGAAAATTTTCTTGAAAATTTCGGATTTGGCGAAAAAATGAAAATTTTCTTGAAAATTTCGGATTTGCCGAAAAAATGAAAATTTCTTGAAAATTTCGGATTTGGTGAAAAAATGAAAATTTCTTGAACCTTGTCCTCAGCGTGTGGAAATTAGTCCTCACCGTGAGGAATCTTGTCTTCAGTGTGAGGTACCTTGTCCTCAGCTTGAGGAACATTGTCCTCAGTATGAGGTACCTTGTCGTCAGCGTGAAGAACGTTGTCCTCAGCTTGAGGAACCTTGTCCTTACCGTGAGGAAACTTGTCCTCAGCGTGAGAAACCTTGTCCTCAGCGTGAGAAACCTTGTCCTCAGTGTGAGGTACCTTGTCCTCAGTGTGAGGTACCTTGGCCTCAGCTTGAGGAACCTTGTGAGGTACCTTGTCCTCAGTGTGAGGTACTTTGTCCTCAGTTTGAGGAACCTTGTCCTCTGCTTGAGGAACTTCGGATTTGGCGAAAAAATGAAAATTTTCTTGAAAATTTCGGATTTGGCGAAAAAATGAAAATTTTCTTGAAAATTTCGGATTTGGCGAAAAAATGAAAATTTTCTTGAAAATGTCGGATTTGGCGAAAAAATGAAAATTTTCTTGAAAATTTCGGATTTGGCGAAAAAATGAAAATTTTCTTGAAAATTTCGGATTTGGCGAAAAAATGAAAATTTTCTTGAAAATTTCGGATTTGGCGAAAAAATGAAAATTTTCTTGAAAATTTCGGATTTGGCGAAAAAATGAAAATTTTCTTGAAAATTTCGGATTTGGCGAAAAAATGAAAATTTTCTTGAAAATTTCGGATTCGGCGAAAAAATGAAAATATTCTGGAAAATGTCGAATTTGGCGAAAAAATGAAAATTTTCTGGAAAATTTCGGATTTGGCGAAAAAATGAAAATTTTCTGGAAAATTTCAAATTTGGCCAAAAAATGAAAATTTTCTTGAAAATTTCGGATTTGGCAAAAATAAATTTTCTTGAAAATTTCGGATTTGACGAAAAAATGAAAATTTTCTTGAAAATGTCGGATTTGGTGAAAAAATGAAAATTTTCTCTAAAATTTCGGATTTGGCGAAAAAATGAAAATTTTCTTTAAAATTTCGGATTTGGCGAAAAAATGAAAATTTTCTTGAAAATTTCGGATTTGGCGAAAAAATGAAAATTTTCTTGAAAATTTCGGATTTGGCGAAAAAATGAAAATTTTCTTGAAAATTTCGGATTTGGCGAAAAAATGAAAATTTTCTTGAAAATTTCGGATTCGGCGAAAAAATGAAAATTTTCTTGAAAATTTCGGATTTGGCGAAAAAATGAAAATTTTCTGGAAAATTTCGGATTTGGCGAAAAAATGAAAATTTTCTTGAAAATTTCGGATTTGACGAAAAAATGAATATTTTCTTGAAAATGTCGGATTCGGCGAAAAAATGAAAATTTTCTGGAAAATTTCGGATTTGGCGAAAAAATGAAAATTTTCTGGAAAATTTCGGATTTGGCGAAAAAATGAAAATTTTCTGGAAAATTTCGGATTTGGATAAAAAATGAAAATTTTGTGGAAAATTTCGGTTTTGGCGAAAAAAATGAAAATTTTCTGGAAAATTCCGGATTTGGCGAAAAAATGAAAATTTCGGATTTGGCAAAAAGTGAAAATTTTCTTGAAAATTTCGGATTTGGCGAAAAAGTGAAAATTTTCTTAAAAATTTCGGATTTGGTGAAAAAATTAAATTTTTCTGGCAAATTTCGGATTTCGCGAAAAAATTAAATTTTTCTTGCAAATTTCGGACTTGGCGAAAAAATGAAAATTTTCTGGAAAATTCCGAATTTGGCGAAAAAATGAAAATTTCGGATTTGGCAAAAAGTTGAAAATTTTCTTGAAAATTTCGGATTTGGGGAAAAAGTGTAAATTTTTTTGAAAATTTTGGATTTGGGAAAAAAATAAAAATTTTCTTAAAAATTTCGGATTTGGCTAAAAAATGTAATTTTCTGGAAAATTTCGGATTTGGCGAAAAAATGAAAATTTTCTTAAAAATTTCGGATTTGGCAAAAAAATAAAAATTTTCTTAGAAATTTCGGATTTGGCGAAAAAATGAAAATTTTCTGGAAAATTTCGGATTTGGCGAAAAAATGAAAATTTTCTTGAAAATTTCGGATTTGGCGAAAAAATGAAAATTTTTTGAAAATTTCGGATTTGGCGAAAAAATGAAAATTTTCTTGAAAATTTCGGATTTGGCGAAAAAAAGAAAATTTTGTGGAAAATTTCGGATTTGGCGAAAAAATGAAAATTTTTTGGAAATTTCGGATTTGGGGAAAAAATGAAAATTTTTTTGAAATTTCGGATTTAGCGAAAAAATGAAAATTTTCTTGAAAATTTTGGATTTGGCAAAAAAATGAAAATTTTTTGGAAATTTCGGATTTGGAAAAAATGAAAATGTTGAAAATTTTCTTGAAAATTTCGGATTTGGGGAAAAAGTGTAAATTTTTTTGAAAATTTTGGATTTGGGGAAAAAATGAAAATTTTCTGGAAAATTTCGGATTTGGAGAAAAAATGAAATTTTTTTGGAAATTTCGGATTTGGAGAAAAAATGAAAATTTTTTGGAAATTTCGGATATGGCGAAAAAATGAAATTTTTTTAAAATTTCGGATTTGGTGAAAAAATTAAATTTTTCTGGCAAATTTCGGATTTGGGGAAAAAATGAAAAGTTTCTGGAAAATTTCGGATTTGGAGAAAAAATGAAAATTTTTTGGAAATTTCGGATATGGCGAAAAAATGAAAATTTTCTTAAAAATTTCGGATTTGGTGAAAAAATTAAATTTTTCTGGAAATTTTGGATTTGGCGAAAAAATGAAAATTTTCTGGAAAATTTGGATTTGGCGAAAAAATGAAAATTTTCTGAAAATTCGGATTTGGCAAAAAGTGAAAATTTTCTTGAAAATTTCGGATTTGGAAAAAATGAAATTTTCTGGAAAATTTTGGATTTGGCGAAAAAATGAAAATTTTCTTGAAAATTTCGGATTTGGCGAAAAAAAGAAAATTTTTTTGAAAATTTCGGATTTGGCGAAAAAATGAAAATTTCGGATTTGAAGAAAAAATGAAAATTTTCTTGAAAATTTCGGATTTGGCGAAAAAATGAAAATTTTCTGTAAAATTCCGAATTTGGCGAAAAAATGAAAATTTCGGATTTGGCAAAAAGTGAAAATTTTCTTGAAAATTTCGGATTTGAGGAAAAAGTGAAATTTTCTGGAAAATTTTGGATTTGGCGAAAAAATGAAAATTTTCTTGAAAATTTCGGATTTGGCGAAAAAAAGAAAATTTTTTTGAAAATTTCGGATTTGGCGAAAAAATGAAAATTTTGTGGAAAATTTCGGATTTGAAGAAAAAATGAAAATTTTCTTGAAAATTTCGGATTTGGCGAAAAAATGAAATTTTCTTAAAAATTTCGGATTTGGCGAAAAAATTAAATTTTTCTTGCAAATTTCGGACTTGGCGAAAAAATGAAAATTTTCTGGAAAATTTCGGATTTGGCGAAAAAAGAAAATTTCGGATTTGGCGAAAAAATGAAAATTTTCTTGAAAATTTCGGATTTGGCAAAAAGTGAAAATTTTCTTGAAAATTTCGGATTTGGCAAAAAGTGAAAATTTTCTTGAAAATTTCGGATTTGGGGAAAAAGTGTAAATTTTTTGAAAATTTTGGATTTGGGGAAAAAATGTAAATTTTTTTGAAAATTTTGGATTTGGGGAAAAAATGAAAATTTTCTTGAAAATTTCGGATTTGGCGAAAAAATGAAAATTTTTTGGAAATTTCGGATTTGGCGAAAAAATGAAAATTTTCTTGAAAATTTCGGATTTGAAGAAAAAATGAAAATTTTCTTGAAAATTTCGGATTTGGCGAAAAAATGAAAATTTCGGATTTGGCAAAAAATAATTTGAAAATTTCGGACTTGGCGAAAAAATGAAAATTTTGAAAATTTCGGATTTGGCGAAAAAATGAAAATTTTCTTGAAAATTTCGGATTTGGGGAAAAAGTGAAAATTTTTTGAAAATTTCGGATTTGGGGAAAAAGTGTAAATTTTTTTGAAAATTTTGGATTTGGGGAAAAAATGAAAATTTTCTGGAAAATTTCGGATTTGGAGAAAAAATGAAAATTTTTTGGAAATTTCGGATATGGCGAAAAAATGAAAATTTTCTTGAAAATTTCGGATTTGGCGAAAAAATGAAAATTTTGTTGAAAATTTCGGATTTGGCGAAAAAATGAAAATTTTAAAATTTCGGATTTGGCGAAAAAATGAAAATTTTATATTAATATTGAAAGAAATTGCATATTAATATATTATATTGGCGAAAAAATGAAAATTTTAAAATTTTCTTGAAAATTTCGGATTTGGCGAAAAAATGAAAATTTTCTTCAAAATTTCGGATTTGACGAAAAAATGAATATTTTCTTGAAAATGTCGGATTTGGCGAAAAAATGAAAATTTTCTTTAAAATTTCGGATTTGGCGAAAAAAT